CTTAATATATAGTCCTTTATAATTATAATACTGTTCTGTTGAATAATTTATTTGAATTCCATCTATGTTCCTTTCATAACTGACACAACTTGCTGTAGTATCACAGAAATGAGATTTCCGAAGTATATCTAGAGCTTGATGTCCTGTATATAAGGGTCTGGTCTTGCAATGGCTTAAGCCAAGTATCTGTTCTCCATCTCTCTTCTATCAATCAGATATTCTCGAATGAGTTAAAATGTCAGTTGAGGAAAGAAATATGTCTACAGCAAATGCTTGGAAGCAGAACTAAAAGATCATAGGACAGGACAGCAACATTCGTGCCAGGGGAACCTAGGAGGCGAAGCAAGATACAGTGAGTGAAACAGGAAACAATTCTGTAGGTCTTGGTGGAGCTTTCCTTTGCAATAGTTATCTAAAGCTGTCTGGAGGCTTTCCCTGGAGCCTTCCTCTCTCTTGACCCAATAACAAAAGAATTCATGCTACAAACTTCATTGTGGGATATGTGAAAGAAATGCAAACCACCAGATTGTTGGCTGACAGCCTTGGGAAATCCTGCCTTTAACGTTAATCCTGCAGGACTTGTTCAAGGGCTAAAAGCACTCAGAATAGCTGGATGGTGGCTGTTTCAGGCATCTCTTAAATACATGCATTTTTACAGACAGAAGACACAATGGATCCATGGGACCATAACTCCAAAATATATAGCAGAAACAACCTGTATGATTCCATGGAGGTAATTAAGAATAAAGGGTCTTGAGGGGCAGTTAGACCACACTTCACAATGGTGCAGCTCAATGCAAGAGCACAGAGTTTGGCGAGGAACAGAGGGGACGTGCAGATCTGGCCTCCTGAGGAGTGCAGGGAAGCCCAATCACATGCACAGAAGGGTCTGTGGATGTCCCCTCCTAGCTCTTCCTCACAGGGAACCTCCCGATAAGACAGGGGTGGTTCTGTCACATCAGTTGCTGGCAGCTTTTTGCGCCACTACTACCAAATCTGTCCTAACACATTTTTAAAGGGTAAATCTAAACATTTCCTGATGTCACGTTGCAGGGGTGCCAAGGCTTAGTATCTCCTTATCATGAGGAAGCAGTTTAGTTTCAAGGAACTGCCCAGATGACCAGATTGCTCCAGGCTTCAGCTGTCTCCTGGTTGACACCCTCCAGCTGAAGGATCGAGCTTACAGCAGGGCAGGAGAAGGTATCCTCTGAGGTACCACTTCTAAAAGTATTGGCAGTGCATGTCTTGGTCTTTCATATTAGAATCACAGAATCACTTAGGTTTGAAAAGTCCTCTAAGACCAGGAAGTCCAACCATTAGCGATTCACATTATTGCATTGCTGTGGATGCTGAATGTCCCAAATTCACCTAAGATTTAATTGCATTAGTCACGCCAGACTTTTGCAGTCTTTTGGCCCCATTCACTTCTTTATCCTGTTCAGCTGAGGTTAATGAGCAGTTTGCTAAAGACTCCAGTGGCAATAAGGGCAGGCCAAATCAGCACCACACATCAAATCTGTGGCCTCAGAAAAGCACGTCCATGTGCCACTGGGTTTTCTGTCAAGAGCTGATGCTTTTGTAACCAAAGAGTCAAAAATGGTGCTTAGGAAACCATCACACCTGGTGCTGACAAAGTCAGCCTCAGCTGAGGCTGAATTCAGTGCTGTGGGCCTGGCCTGGTCACCATGGCTGTGTGGCAGAGTTTTGGCAGATAGCTGCTGCTCCTCTGCCTTGCTGTATCTGGTCTGGGGCTTTTCCCACCTCACACCCTGGTGTGTGTATTGTGTGAGAAAATTAAGCAGAAGTTACACATCACCCAACACAATGAATATCAGAGACATAATGTGTATCCTGGGAAGTGTTCAAGGCCATGTTGCGTGGGGCTGTGAGCAACCTGGTCTAGTGGAAAGTGTCCCTGGCAGGGGGTTTGGAAATCAATCGTCTTTAAAATCCCTTCCAACCCAGGCCATTCTATGATTCTATGATTCTAAGATATTCCAGCTTCTAGATTTCACGGATTTGTCAAATGTGAGCAGTAGTTTTCCAAAGAAAAAATGGAACATGAAGGTAATAAATATCTGAAAGGGGACCATCAGGTGGCAATAGATTGGTGGTAAAGGGAAGTGCTCATTTCAGGCTGTAGTTTTTACAGTGTGATCTCTTGGTTACCTCAGAGCATTGCAAAAGACTTAATGACTTAAACAGTCAAAAAAAAAAAAAAAAAAAAAGGCATTTTATTTGGGCTCTCTGCTAATGCAGAAAAACTTCAATAAGGCCTGCAAGGAAGCTAGAATGCATTACCATAATATAGGCAGCTGTATACCAGGAATCCTGGTGGTATTTTTCCAGAGAGAGGTCCTGTCCTCTCCTCTCCTCTCCCCTCCCCTCCCCTCCCCTCCCATTCAAATTACTACACTGGGTAATCTTCCTTTCCACCTCTTTTATGTTGCCAGTAAGCCCTATTAGATGTCAATATAGTGATAGCTTTATGTCCTAAACTGCAATCCTGTTTGTATTTTCTCTTTTTTTGCTATAAAGATAACAGAACTCTCCTACCCAGCTAGTTGAAGTCTGGACATTTTGTGAAATTAACTTGCCTTTCCTTGATCAAGTTAAGGACATTTCCTTTTCCTTACTATTTCCTAGACTCTCAATCACTTATTCATTTTCTTTGTCATCATAATCAGGTCTATTTGATTTTTGAAATTGTTTCTACTTAATGTTTTCACTTGTATTTTATTAAAAGTCATTTCTGAAGGAGTTACACTAAAGGATGGAGGGTGAAGTCTTTACATTGGAAATGAACTTGAGACAAGCCAGGGGCAGCTGCCCACTTGCTGTCACCCTTGTGCACACATGCAAAGGTTTTCAACTGATTGAAACCACAGCTCTGCAGCTCGGGTCCACTCTAAATGTGAGAAATTACAGGACATAGCCAGTTAGAGACATTTTAAAAGAGGTTCAAAATGAAACAGTTCTGTATAGAAAGCTGTTGTTCTGTCTAACAGATTTGTTGCCATGGTGTTCCGCTTGTGATCTCTTTGCGAAGTTTAATTATTTTTGCCATCATAAGGAAGGTAATTGCTTTGAAATCAGCCAAAGTGACGTACATGTGTCCCTGTTCTCATTTTTCCCACAAGCACCATCAGACTTTTTTTTCCTGAAGAACTGAGAAGAGTGAAAATGATTATTCTTTCGTTCGTGGCAGTTAAAGGGATGATGCTGCTGCACTAAGGCAGAGTAAAGCACTGTGGATTCGGGATTGCTCATAAAGAAGATATCAATTACCAGAGAGAATTATTGACCTCTTCATAACTGTTTTTATTATGTTTTCTTATGAACAGGAAGAGGTATATTACTAGCTTTGCCCAATAAGGTAATAGGATGAGGATTGCAGGAATATCTGACAATGTTACTTGCCTGCCTTATAATTAGCATGGAAGTGGAGAATGCTTATGAATACTGAGTTCCTCGTTTCCATGTTCATGGATGAGCTCGCGTTTTCTTCATGATTCTGCATCAGAGATTGATATCATTAAGAAAATACACTTTTTTGACAAAATAGAGATTTTTCTTCATCAAGGTGGAGGTCTAATGCTAAGCTGAAGTATTGCATTTTAGCTGCTATGTGCTTATCTGCTGTTTGTGCTCTCTCTTCTGCAGTTTCAATTAACAAGTTTTCCTTTAATTCCCGGCCAGGAGAATAAGACTAAATGATCTCTTCTTTTTACTTTTTTTTTTCTTTTCTTTTTTTCAGGTGTAAATTGCTTGTGATATCTCAAAATCTGTTTCCTATGAAAAATTATCCATAAATGTAGTGCCTGTTTTGGAATGGAATAAAGACAGGGCTTGGTATGATTTCACTGTGTTACAAATACATTACACTGAATTAAGTTAGAGTATTGACTTCTGTCATGCTAAACAAGCTAATGGCACAGGGCAGCAATGTTACACAAGCCAGCCAGATATAACATAATTTCATTAATTTCACTACTACATTGTGATAGCAAGTCACTGACCAAGGCCTTGGCAATCCATCTGCTGGCTGCACACATCGGTTAGCTGAAAAGGTGGTCCTAGGAGTATGGCTCACTGAATGAAGCTTATTGAAGCAGAGGTGGTATTTTCTATTTAAAACAATTCAGCTCTTGAGTATGTTTGGAACAGGAATTTGATATTTCTCTGTAGTTTACAGAGGAAGCGTGGAGACCTGTAAATGTTTACACCAAGGCCATATAGTCAGAGGCGTGCAAATGCAAAAGAAGCAGCTCTATCTGTAGCAACACATGCTGCAAAACCCTAACAGATAATGTTTGCTGACATAATTTCAGGCAGGTACTTAATTTCAAAGAAAAAACACACAAATTACATAGTGGGGTTGACTAGAAACCTAATTTCTTTCCTAATGCTTTATGTTGTTCCTCATGGAGTCTGTCTGAGAAAGTCCATATTGTTGTAAATGCGGTGGAAAACAAACATGAAAGGTGTGAACATTTCCTGTTACAAAAGTAAATGAAACAACACAAGTTCCTTAGCATCCATGTTTTAAAACACAGCTCTTCTTGAAGGGTCTGTGGTTTTAATGGGCATTTGGGTAAAACATCCATCTAGGAAGCATGGACAAAGGTGGAAATATTTGGTATATCAGTATAAGAGGCAATAATCTCCACCTGCTTAACACGAAGGTGTATTTTTTCTAGTCCTCATCACTGCAGCTTTGATAAGGAAAGGGAAGAGAAAGATATTTGTTTTCAGTATGTTGGTAACCAGCCTCCAGGAAAACAGTGACAATTGCCAAGCTATCCTGCTTGTTGAAAGCCTCAGCTGCATTCAAATTCCTGTCTGGCTTCCAGTGAATGAGATAAAGCTAAAAACAAATTAACAGGATTAATTTTGCTGGTTCTATTACAAAGGAATGCTACAATCTGTGAGAAATAGAAAAGGCACTTTGCACTCTTAGGGTCTGAGGAAACTGAGAACGTGCTTGTGAATGCTTGCAGATTTATGGTGGGCAGCTGAACTGCCCCGGCATTGTCAGGACTCACTCAGGCTTTACCTTGGGTAGGCGGAACTGCAGGGATTCCTGAAAGCAATTTAGGGGTAAGTACACAGGGTTGTGGACAAGCACAGCTTACAAAAGACAGACATTTTTCTAACTCTGCTGCTAACAGTTTGCAGTGCATGTCTTTAAAAATGTAGTACATAAATGGCATTTTGAGGAGTGTAACCACTTTGTTAGACATGGTGCAATATTTACTGACAATAGTCCCATTTACTGCAAAATATTGGTGGTATGGCCATGAATGTCATAGAATTTTAAGGAATTTTGTTTAGTCTAGCGTTGTATATTGTATCTTGAGCTTTTTTTTTTTTTTTTTTTTCCCACTTTGATCCTGTGGAATATAAACTTTCAGTTTGGAAATCATAATAATTTTTTTAAATGCCATCTCACCTATGAATATGCTTAGCAATTCTTAGCAATGGCAATAGACTAGTCTTGGATTACATGTATAATGTTTCAGCAACATCACAAGAGAAAATATAAAATCTTCTTAAAATACAAGGAGGAGATTCTAAAATATAGAAACAGAACATGGAAATTATCATGTAATAGACATAATCCCAAAAATCTGATTTCAATCCCTTTTTGTTTCTAATTCCATTTAGTTTTACATCTGAATTGCTGTATTTTCAGCTTAACATCTTTACTGTTTCAACATATTTTAAACTATTGATTCAAAACAAACTATTAAACACCTAATCATGCACTGCTTAAACACAGCTGAAGTGCACTATCTCTTTACAACTGAAAGCAATTCTAAAGGGACACCCCTTTCTTATCTTGGCTGTATCGAGTGAGATAACTTGATCGCTCTGGCATGAGAAAAGGGAGATAATTCTGGCTGTCTGTTCCTAATGCCTGGATGAAAAATGTATAATCCATCTCCTTAGTTTGTCATGTTGGAATGTTCATAAAATCTAAAAAGCTGCCAAAGCTAACATTACATGGAATGAACATGAGTAGTTTGTGTACGCTGATGACTATTAGCAGGACTTTAAGGCACTGGAAAACAAATAAAACTTGTTATTTTAGAGATGGCTTTAAATTTTTGTAAAACAGAACTTGCTTCATTACCTGAAGACATTTAATGTACTGGAACAGCTGCTAGGGCCCTTACTAGAAAACTTTTTTCCCTCTTTGCTTAATTCATTTCTTCTGTGTTGCTTTCTTATTTGCTGCCCTAGAAAAGCCAGGAGGAGCAAAACCAACAAACCCAACCGCAGTGCAGTGATCAGCATGCTTGCAGCTTTGAGGAGCTAGAATTATAGTGGGGCATTGGGTGATCAGGCTCTCTGAAAAGCAGATGATGTAGTATCAAGCTCAATGTACTTGTACAGCTGACCTTTTAAACATTTACCAGAGGTAATTTACTTTTATACCTGTACCTTACAGCCCTATTTCACTATTTAAATATGGATTGGATTATCTAAAATTAGCTTAATAAGCTCAGTCAACATAACCCAGTTTGCTTTTGCAAGGTCAACTTTGCACATGCAGGGATGGTATTGCTTTTGTAAAATAAATTAACTACCAAACCTATCTACAAATGCTTTTTCCCCTATGGATGATATATGGGAACAGACCTCAAAAACTTGACTCTGTGTTTTCTTTCATTGACTCTGCCTCTGAGGCATTTTTCCTTCCATCTACTGTCTGCGCTGAGCCTTGCTCATTAGTTTGGAATGGAAATAAAACTGTTGCAACATTTATGTTCCAGAGAGGGGTCCCCCAGTCAGCTATGCAAATGCATGAAGTATGGTAAAAACTTTATCAATCAATGAAGTCTTCCTGACAGCCAAGTTATAGATTTCAAAGATTTTTTATACTGTGCAAAGAGTTTTCTCTCTATTCACACCTTTTTACATGAGATTATTTTTAAGTATCTAGAGAAAAAGTCCTGACAGTTTATGGAGTCAAGACAAAGTCATTGAAGGTTTTAATTCTTGGTGTGTATACGAGTGCATCACTCATAGTAAATCTGCAAGTCTCTTTGACACAGTTTCAAAATTCAGGTGAAATATATGTGAGTACATCGTCTACTCCAGAGAGTATGACAGTGTTTTAAAGGTCTATTTCTTCACAGAAGTAAGAGATATAGGTATTTGATGTTTTCTGAATTTAGAGTATGAGCTGCCTCAGGTGTACTCAGATGTTACTGATATTGCTTATTGCTCATTACCATTAATTCCTTGCTTACAAGCACATAAAAATGTATTGATTTCCACTGCAGTGATAGGCACCTGTAACTGTGCATGATGCTTAGAAATATGTGCATGGAGTTGCATTTGCAACATCACTCACCTGGAGAAAGAAATCTCCTTTGCTGTCAAAGTAATAAGAGTCTCTAAAGGAAAAAAAAAACCCAAAAACATAGTCCAGAGTGTTTTCATATGGGTTAATAATGTAACTTTTGCATATGTATAAACCTCCCACTGTAGATTAAAAAAAAAAAAAAAAAAAAAGGCCCAATTGAGTAACTGTGTTTAAAAAGTCTCCTCCTCCTATGTTCGCCTCCCCAAATCAGTGGGTAACCTGGAGGTTTCCTACTCAGAAATTACCTTTTACAATTTACACAAGAACATTTGCCAACAAGTCCTAATTTTAAAGAACATAATTTGGATCTTCTCTGACAATTAAAAGGTGTTGCCAAATAGTATAACAGAATTAGCAAGCATATCCTAATCTATATAAGTACTCCTGAAAAGTAAATAGTCTTTCTATATAAATCTTTTTAACAGAGAATGAAAAAAGAAATCTTGTATCCCCCTCTTCAGGTCCCCTTTTTACCAACCTGAGGGGCTGTCTCTATCCTTAAATTTCATGTGGAATGAAACTCCAACACCAATGATGTATTTGCATCTGGAAGGTTTCCAAGGTTTCCACAGAAGACCCACAAATTGATTTTTTTTTTACATATTTAGTTTTAGGAGACTGAAGGTCTCCAATGGCAACAGAGTATAACATGTGCCAATGCTCATGTCCCAGGCAAAATAAATAATTTAATTTTCTGCTTCTAATTCTGTACCAGTACTAAACTGATGTCACTTTCCCATGGAATTGTATACATAATAAAGATACTCGATATATAATCCACGTAACTTATTATTGTTAAAATTAAAATAAATACATCTATTATTTAAACATTTGGTTTTCTGTTAAGGATTGCTTTCATCATTGTTGACTTGATAAGTGCAGCTCAAACTTGCCTTTTTTTTTTTCTCCTTGCAAGGTTCTGACCTCTTTTAAAAAACACTGCTGGTGACAATGAAAACTGTTAAGAAAAGATCTCTGATTTTAATTTCTTCTGAATTTCTAACTTACGTATGGGTTTTTATGTGCCTGCTTGAACAGTAAAGACCTAAACATTTTCTAACCAATGGTTACTGATTCCATATGACTTCAGAATGGCATGAGAAACTATGATAAGAGGTTGTAATAAGGTTGTAATAAGGAAACAGTGTGGTTTGCACAATCAGAAAATGTTTACTTTTTGATTCAGTACAAATATTAAAACAGATGTGAGTTGGATGCCAAATTAAAATACAAATTCTAACTGTTCAGATACTGTCCAAAGACCTTTACACTAAATAACCCAAAGGATAATTATGATATAAAAACGAAGACTACAGAGAAAGCAGTGTATGTTCAGCCTTTTTTAAAAACCATGTCAGTGATTTCAGAAATTTATATGCGAATTTTAGAATTTTGATTTTGAAAAACCACTAAAAAGTAGTCAATTCCGTAGCTCTTAGTGGTGGTATACAACAATCAATGTTCAAGAAAATGGTGAATATATTATTAAATACTACATTAATACAACCGGCAATGCTCTTAATAAGAGAGGAGGTCCAAAACCTACTAAATCCCACCAGCTTCAGATGTTTTGGGAATGATCTCATGCCATTTTTATACTGCTGGGAATCTTCAAGGCAATATTTTGGGGATTGATACCTGTCTGTTTCAAAGCTAAGTTCTGCTAACACATATGTTATTTTGCCTGGCTAAACTCTGTCTCATGCATACTTAAAAGCAGGATTGCATTTTTGGGATGTTATGCTTGATAAGTACTGCAGCATAATTAAATAGTTGTGGTATTATCTATATTTGTAAATACCTGAACTGAGTGTATGGAGTAATTATTTCTATATAAAATAAGGTTTATCATAGATTATGTAAGACTTGCCTTGTCATCCTGAGTTGCAAAACTGGAACCTGTTGACATTTTCTTGTTTTTCTTACAGGCTATTCTCAGTAATAGGAAACTACTGATATCTGCCTTTGCAGATGTCCGCAGCTGACGTCAGGAATTTCAGACACCATTGTGCAAGTTTTGTTCTAACCTGTAAAACTTGTTGCAGTGATGATTAGGGATATGACAACTTTCAGGTACGTCTCAATCATAGGTGGATTGAAATTTTCTGATCATTTTTTGGGGTTGTTCAGAAATTATGTTTCATCAGAGTAGAAAATGTTCAAAGAAAAATTAACACCACTAACTTCTGCTGAAAGACAACTTCGACTGCTTAGTCTCTGATCCAAGTCAGATTGCTAAAATTACATCAGCCATTTTGAAACAGAATCTGCATCTTGCAGAACAGAAATTTGACTTTTAACCAGATCTGATATCAATGATCACTGCTCCTTTGGAATAATGTAGGAGATAAGTTCCTTCACTTCTAAGAGAGCCAGAGCACCAAATCATCTGCAGTTGTTTGCACTCATGGCAGGGTGAGAGAGACCCATCAGTTTCTTGTCTGCCATCGGTTATCTGTAGACTCTGTTGGTTACTGTGAGTTAGTTATATAGAATTATCACATTTATATATTTATGTATATATATATATAATTCTATATATGGAGTCATATATAGTTATCGAAGACCTTCTGCCTACATTCAAGAACTATCAGGTGAGCCACTGAAAAAGAAAGTGACTAGTTAGATGGGACTAACCCAGAGAGATTTGAAAATGTATTTATGGTTTGTGCGAAAGATATGGTGCATTACATCATGATAGATGGACAACATAATATAAAGAAATTCCATGACAAAAATACAAAAGAGTAGGGCAAGGTAATTTTGAATTTTCTAAGAAAGGAACAAAGTTTTAGGAATAATACCAAAGGAAAAATAAATATTATCTTGTTATACAGATGCAATGAGAATATAATTTGGAAATATTACCACAGTTTCTTTTGCTTGATCAGATAATCAATGTCAATTTTATGACTATGAAAAATATTCCTTCTGCATGAGGTGAGGATGGCAGAGATTTGGTAAAATGATCTCTTGGAAGAGGAGCCAAGATTTCGGAACTGTGACCTTTTCACTGTCGCATCAGCCTGGCTATAAAGTAATTCTAGACTCTGGTTTAATACAGCAGCTTGTGTGTGACTGACACAACAACTGCTTTGCTTCTTGAAACCCAACACAACTGGCTTATGATTCCTGCCATTACTGTTTTCTGGTTCTACATCCTTAAATGTGCTTCAGCTTTTAGCCATGATCCTATTACTGTTGTTAAAATATTTAGTTACAAGTATTTCTTAATTAAAGAAAATTAATTCTGATTCTGCTGATTCTTAGAACTTTAAATAAAAACCTGTCTGTCAGCTCCTTTTCCTTTTCCTTCTGTATGAATGCAGGGAGTAATTTTAATATTATGACGGAGCTCTTGACCTCATGCAAAGTCTGAGAGACAGGACTTTGAAAAAGAGTCTAGTGGTTTTTTGAATACACTTCCCAATTTTTTTTAATTCTTGAAGTTACAGCGTGGCTGTGCAATAAGCCTTTCTCCAGATGGCACAGAAATTAGGTTTGACTTTAAAGAAAGTCCTAGGAAATGCAGCTTAGAAAGGGTGGCTGAAGGCTTACTGCTTGTTGCACAGCTCTTTCCATTTGGGCAACCTCTTTAAGATCCCTTATCTAGCTGACAAAACCCATTTCAAGACTTTTTGCAACAACTTCACTCTAGGAGGAAATACCTGAACTCAAAGACCACTGAAATATTTTTTTTCCAAAATAAGAGGTTTTGTAAATTGCCATAGGGATGGAAGAAATTTTTTTAAAAACTTAAAATAATATAAAGCAGTTTATTTTTGTGGCTCTTGTGCATTCCTCCACTGTTCTTGTAGTCCAGATGTTGTCATTTTTTCCAATTCATTAGAACTTATAGGACTAAATTGCTGAGACAGAAACCACAAAAAATGTCCCAGCAGCACAAGGCATAGGAAGGCTGAGGATGATGGATGTTAATACACTTCTTAAAACACAACCCTGTATTCCATCAGCTACTGATTATTGTCTACACATTTTAGGCTGCCCCACTCTGCAGGGAAAGTGTTAGCACCCTTCCAGGAAACTGGGATTAATGAAATGTGATAGCCTTGGCAAAGCCTTCACAGTATAAATAGAAGTGGATCCCTGGCTTTCTGGATGAATGTGTGCAAAGTTTTAATGTATAAAGCTCTGAACCAACAAAACATTATAAATGTGTTTAACTTTATGCATAGCAGGACACCTACTGATGTTATTTGAGAGTATGAAGTTAAAAATGAACATAGTATAGAAATGAATGAAAAAGAATCTTATTTTAAGGATGCTAGTCAGAAAAAAACCCCAGAAAGCTCTTCTGAAAAATATTATATTTGTTATATTATATTATCATATTAACATTGACATTATTTTTTCATGTTGTAATTTTCAAATACTACATATCTCAATAGTGTATTGATTTGTGAAAAAAAAACCTGCAAATATTCTTACTAAATATTTCACTAGCTCTCGTAGTGAGCTTTTTTATTTAATGTTTACATAGGATCGAGATACTGTTATTTGTAATGGTCTGGTCAAAATTAAATATTGTATTAGACAATCTCCCCATATAGCTATTGTAACCAGGGAGGGAAAGTTGCAAAGTCACAAAAATTCAGGAGTGAAATAGGAGGGTGCTTCCAAGCCACCAGTCACTGCTTGATCTGAAGGAGCTCTGGCCATCCTGGTGCAAAGTATTGCACATGGTGCAGGAGATAAGGATCACCTTAAAAATAAAATAATTCATAGTAAACATTGGCCTGTGGCATAAAGGTGTGAGATAGGGCCCTGATGGTTATGGAAGAGCTGTTGTCTCATATTACCCCACACCTGCTGCATGCAGGGCTTTGCTAATGTCAGAGATACAGCTCAGTTTGTGTGTGCACAGCTGGCTATTGTGGGTAGGATCAAACCTGGCTCCTCTATGTCAGGGAAAGTATGTATCTTCTTATCTGGGGAATTTTATCTGCTATGGCCTATAGTTTTAGGCTTTTAATACTAACTGAGCATATATTTTAAGTTGTGAAATATAGTACATCAATCTACATAAAAAGTATAGAACTGTGTCCTGCAACTCCCTGTCTGAATTAAAAGAACCATCAAAGTCTGAAGCAAGGAAAAAACTTGTGTCCAAATAGTGTTCATAATCTTTTCTTGTCAATGGGTACTAGTAATATGTAGTCCATATTTTCTAACAATTAACAAAACTTTATAGGTGACATCATGCACCTCATATTCAGGGAATATATTTAATTGCAACTAATATGTATGTTTAGATAACAGAAGAGATTTGTAGGTGGACAGGAAGTTATAATAAAAACAAATTTTATGTTTTGCAGTTATACCGACACAACATTAAACAACTGATATTAGAAATGATGGGGTAGTTCTACGTTTTTGTCTTTTCCTTTTAACCTTGTATCAACATGAAAACAGCATATATAGTGGCAACAGACTCACAGATTTATAGATATAACATACAAAAGAGAAAGACAGACTGTTATGTTAGTATATATTGCATATTATGTTATATATATATATTATGTTGGTATATATTACTTCCCCTACATTAGGGGTTTTCACCAAGCAGGCTTATTCTTCTTGCTTGTCTTTCACATTTAGAAAAATTCATAGACCGCAGAGTTTTGGACCTGAATTTGAAAATATTTGTGTGTCTGGAGATTGTTGAAAATTGTTACTTGAATGACACGTTCAAGATTTGCATGCTTCAGCTGGAGCTGCTGATGGATTTGAGCACAGCTTTGCCAGGTATATATATACATACCTGTATATATATATGTCACTGCTATTGCTTGAGAATCAATTTGAGCTGTATCTCTGGAGCTGTATGTATGGAGCAGATGTTTGTCCAAGGTAACCAAATGTATTCAATTTTTGTAGTTCCAAAAATTGTAGTTCTTTTTTACAAGGCTGTGTGGTGACAGGACAAAGGGAATGGCTGTAAAATAAGAGAGGATAGTTCAGATTAGATATAAGGAAGAAATTCTTTACTGTGAGGGTGGTGAGGCACTGGAACAGGTTGTCCAAAAAGGTTGTGAATGTCTGGAGGTGTTCAAGGCTGAGTGTTGGATGTGGCCCTGAGCAACCTGGTCTAGTGGAAGGCTCCCAGCCCATGCCAATGGAAGGGGGGTTGGAACTGGATGATCTTTAAAGTTCTTTCCAAACCAATCCATAATTCTATGATACTTCAGTGATTTGTGATAGCATTTATTCTGGAAGTTGCACTAGGCATTAACTAAATCTCATGAATTTGTACAGAATTGACTGTTGAATAAATAGTACAAGAGAAATGCTTTCTTTCAAAGATGTCACTGACTGCTGAAACTGCATTGTTTCAATCAAAACGTTGCTCCGATAGAAAATATTTTAATCAGAAAAACGCAGAATCACACTATCTCCAGCTTGGAGGCTTTCAGTGGGGAGCTGTGCCCTCTGCTGTTGGCTTGAGCACAGTGAAGGAACAGCAGTAAGCTGCAGCCTGAATACTTTTGACCTGAAACAAGGGTAAAATGGAACAGTTCAAAAACATATTCTAATATAACTATTTTTATAGGGTAAGGTTGTTGTCAAAAACCTTTTTGTGATATGAGAACCTTTGTCAAAATGCTACAGAATATTTAATTCCATTTTCATGTAAATTGCATCTGGTGGCCAAGAATATTTTTTGTTTCTTGTCACCTGAGAGATTCATCAGTGAATCAGGAGCAACAGAACTTTTGAGATGGATTTTTTTTTTCTCAGTGATGAAGCATTAAAATTCGTGATTTCTTCTGAAACAATGAGTAGAAAAAGTACTAACTCTTCTATCAAAACAGAAGAGTTCTTGTTATTATTGTTGAACTTTTTTAATCAAATACTGCTTAAAACCCAATTCAAAGTTTATTTGTCTGACTATTCGGCCTGTAATTTGCCATACCTTTTAATTTTACAGTCCACATTTGCCATATCTTTTAATTTTACAGTCCATAATTTCTATGAGCCAGTGAGGGATAAAGGGCTTCTTTCACAATTTCTCAAATAAAGTTCTTAATAACAAAGGAACAGGGGGAAAAAAATCATAATTTCAGTTTCAACTGTTCGCTGCTATTCCAAATTATTTTTCTCTTTGAGTTACTGAGCTGCTGGGAACACACCTTCACAAGCAACACATTAAAGTTTTGTTACAGATGTAAAATTCAGATGTGTACCTATGCAAATAAGCATATTTATGTGTCACAGTGGTAGTTTAGCTGATTTCCATTCTAAGATTTTATTACACGGTTTTCTCTCTTGTTATGTTCCACATTAAACTCCACAAACACAGTGCAAGTTGGAGAAGTATCCAAACTGCAAGACAGGGACTAGAGGAGCAAAATCCTTCTCATGGTTAGAGATCAGGTTCGTGACCACTTGAGGAACCTGATCATACAGTAGTCTATGAGATGTTGAAATAAATCCCAGAGTCCTGAGGGAATTGGCTGACGTAGCTGCCAAGCCACTCTCCATGACATTTGAAAAATCATGGCAGTCAGGTGAAGTCTTTAGTGACTGGAAAATGGAAACATCGCACCCATTTTTCTAAAGGGCATAAAGGAGGATCCTGGGAACTGCTGTCTTGTCAGCCCTGCCACCTGGGAATATAATGGAACTGACCTTCATGGCAGCTATGCTGCATGGAGGACAGGGAGGTGAAACAGAACCTCCAGCATGGCTTCACCAAGGGCAAGTTTTGCCTGGCAAACATAGTGGTCTTCTGTGACAGAGTTGACTACATCAGTGGACAAGGGAGGAGCCACGAATGTCATCTGTCTGGACTTCTGTAAGGCCTTGGGGACAGTCCCCCACAGCACCCTACTCCCTCGATTGGTGAGAGATGGATTTGATGGGTGTACTATTTGCTGAGTGAGGAATTGGTGGAACCTCATTCCTCATGGTACCGTCCAGAGAGCAGTGGTCAAGGGTTCCATGTCCTGATGTACCTCAGTAACAGGTGGTGTCCCTCAGGGGTCCATATGGGGACAAGTACAGTTTAATGGTTTTTAACAGTGACATAGGCTAAGGGATCAAGTGCACCCTCAACAAATTTGCAAAGGACACCAAGCTGAGTGGTGGAGTTAGCACACCTGAAGGATGGAATGCCATCCAGAGGGGCCTGGACAAGCTTGAGAAGCCAGCCCATGAGAACCTCAAGAGTTTCAACAAAGCTAAATACAAGGCCCTCAAACCCTAGGATTATATAAACTGGGGTATGAAGGGTTTGAGAGCAGCCTTGCCTAGAAAGGCTTAGGGCTGCTGGTGGATGAGAAGGTGGAAATGTCCCAGCAATGTGTGCTCATATCCCAAAAACCAACCATATCCTGTGCTGCACCAGAAGACTGGCCAGCAGGGAGGTGATTCTACCCCTCTGTTCTCATGAGATCTCACCTGGAGTACTGCAGTACACTGAAGTAATGAAGTACAGCCCTAGGAACCCCAGCACCGGAGGACATAAATCTGTGGGAGCAAGAGTAACACAGGGGAGCCACAGAAATGAGTAGAGAGCTGGAACACCTCTCATATGAAGAAAGGCTGAGAGAGCTGTGCTTTTTCAGCCTGGAGAAGAAATGGCTCCAGGGAGACCTCATTACCGCTATTCAGTACTTTAAGGAAGTCTGTAAGAAAGACGGGGATGAACTCTTTAGTAGGGCATGTAGCAGTAAGACAATGGGAAATGTTATAATTAGAAGAGGGTAGATTCAGATTAGATAAAAGGAAGAAATTCTTTACAAAGAGAGTGCTGAAACACTGGCACAGATTGCCCCGAGAATGGTGGATGCCCCATCCCTGGAAACATTCAACTTAAGGTTGGACAGAGCTCTGAGAAATATGATCTAGATGAAAATATCCCTGCTCATTGCACAGGAGTTGGAAGTAGATGACCTTTAAGGTTCCCTTCCAACACTCTATGATTTTATGAATTATCCACTTGTTTGATGATGCAGGGACAGCCTGCCACAATATGACTTCTTGGTACCTTTCCTTTTTCACTAGGGCATGTTTGAAACCTACTGTATATGCAACCTGAGAATCATATTTGTTAAGAACCAGAAATAGTTTTAGGAATGTCACAGAATTCACAAGTACCCCAGAGATTATTAGATCAACCCTGTCACCTACAGACACTCCATTTCTGTATTTGCACTAAAACCCCCTCCATCTTAGGCCTGTGTAGAGTTCTTATAGATGTGCAACTAATAAGAATCCCAATTGGGAAATTTTAGTGTGTAAACTGAAGTATGAGAATGTAAGGAATGATCAAGATTTAGTAAGAATTGTAGAGAAACTGAGCAATGTTTTTGCAAGAAATCATACATATTCCATAACCATCTTCAATAGTGGGCATCCCACTGGGATGTGAGTGAGCTTTGTGATGCCTCCTCCCTATCTTTGTGATGCCTCCTCCCTATCTTTGTGATTTCCCTTCCTAAACAGGAGGCAGAATTAGTTGTTCGTGATAGAATACTCTTGATATCTTTTCTATTCTTAAATGAACATCTGCTTTTGAAAATTTCTGATAAAACTATGATGTGCCTCAAAATGTCAAAAAATATGGCATGCTTGCCCTGTTTCCCTGAGTTCCTGCTGCAGTTTAGCATATTCCATGCTCCCTGCTACCATGAAATCACACTTTGTACTACCTAGTTATCCTACTCCTCTCACAGAAGTACAAAAAAAATAAACTCTGTTATACTGCCAAAGCATCAGAGAGAATTGTGTGAGTCCCAGGTCAACAGAGCAGGCTGCAGGTCTCCTTTCAGTTTAAACTAAGTTTTTTCATCTGTTTTCTTCTGAGAGATGGCCTTGAAAACCTGAAACAACGTGAACAGACTGAGATGGAGGCAAGCAGCCAAGGAGTTGATCTCAGCTTGACAACAGGCAGAAAGCAAGCATTTTGCTGAATGGAGACAGGTGCATGATGGCACTCCTGCACATTCATGCTCTTACCTATTCATAAAAGAAGAAATCCTGAAAAAATCTCCCTCTCCCTTACCATCTCCATTGCCATTGTCCATCCTGTTGCAGACTGACAGAGCGGGAATGTGGGATACCATCAAGGACTCTCCCCACTATTTCACTTCAGCTCTGAAGAACATCTTTACCTGACAGATGGTTAAAAAATCTGAATTATTGCCTTTGTGAAGAATTCTGTTTGTTTCTTTGCAGTTTACCCCAATTTCATGCTTCCCAGTAACAGTGTCTTGAAAAATGCCCACTGTTATTTGAAAGGACTCTACCCCTGTGTTCCTATAGTGGAAGATTAAAACCACTCAGATGATCTCAGTAACATCAGTCTTTGACAGCTTTTTGAAGTGACAAGAAAACAGATCTAAATAAAGATTTTTTGGCTTCTGTGTTTTAGAAACTGAACCAAAAAAAATGTGAAGAGGAGGCTGTAAGATGCAAACAAGAAATGGAGGACCCACAGAAAAGTATCTGTGTAGAATAATACGGGACCAGACTGGATCTGAAGATGTGGGAAGATGGAAATGAAATGCATCTTAGGACAACCTGGTGAGATCAGAGTTCTAGCTTGTGGTTGCCTCACTTGTACACCTTGAGTACCTCTAATGTGTATACACAGAACAAGGCTATCTTAGCTTCACTCAGTGGGAGAAACACAGTGTTTCTGTCCTTTACATTAATCCTTCTGTACTTTGATGTAAATACTAATTTTCCATGAAGGATATTCTTTTTCTCATTTTTGTATTGCTCTCTGCCACATACAGCAACCACTGAATTTGGGCTCACTGTTTTTCTTACAGAAGTACTGCTCTCAATGTTTTTTATTTGGCCATATGATGCTATTGCTGCCACTGCACTAAAACTTGCTGTCCTTGTAGGAAGGTTAATCTTGTCTAATGCAAGACTTTGGACTTCAGATATGTTATTTTCCCTCATTGTTTTACTCTTATTGAACATCAGCATAAGGTGTACATTCATAGTTCATGAACATTAACCCTACACATTTCTTTTCACATGGCCAACCATTCTGAAAGTGTATTTCATGCAGAGACTAATGAAAACACTCGTTCTTCTACTTCTTTCCCAAATTTATATCAATAAGTGAAATTCAATTTTATCAAGCATTTTAAGAATGAATTATGAAAGCATCTCTTATACTAAGTAAAAATAATATAAACTATTTTATTATATTTTCTGACATACATGTGAGATTTTTTGTGGTTGTTATTTCTGCAGGAGGTTGGACTACATGATTATTTCAGGGCCCTTCTAATCTGAGTCTTTTTATGGTTCTGTGACTGGAATGTTATAAAATTCTTCTCTATCCCTATAAAAAATATTGGAACACTAGATAAGACTATTGACTTCTTGGTTTATTCTATTTATTTTCTATGAAAAGATTCAGGAATGATAGATTGTGCTGTATGGAGAATATGTCCAGAATTAATGGCAAGAAGAATGAGTCAGAGATGTGGGCATTGCCTTAGGAATTTTGAACATGGATCTGCAATGATTTTTATAATTCATTACTTTTGGATTAGAACATACATAGATAATGGCTGTTCTCTGAATTTTTATCTGTGGTGAAAACCATCATGTGAATAAAATGATACAGGCAGCAGTCCAAAATGTATCACTTTGTTAAGATAAACTAATAAAATTGGGAGTTTAGACATGTATATTTATAGAAAAAAAAGAGTATCCAGTAAGTGATGGTGTGGGATGTTGCAAGATAGGGATGATCTCAGTTATTACAAACAGGAGACTAGATCTAAATGAAGGGGATTATAAAAGCTATAATTAGGTAATGCTTCCTAAAAGCCTAACCTAAACTGTTGAGGTTTTCCATTCCAAAGTGCATTACCACACAGAGATCACATATCATGTAGTAAGTACAGAAAGAAAAACAAATCTTAAACAAACAGTATTGTCTTCAATTATTGCAGAGCAATCCTTTAAACTTTCTGGAACAGATACTTTTCCTTTAATGATGCTGTGATTGCTGAAGGACGGTTTACTTATTACATTGGAATATAACAAATACATTACAATTAAATGTCTCCAAGTTATGTTGATTTTATTTGCATGCTTATAGATGATGCTTTAATCTCTAGATTTTGCTGTAAATTCTGAAGAAGGCAGATGGGTTGGTGAAAAAAAAAAGAATCCTCTGTCTTGCAAAAGCAAGTTTACTATTCTCAGGAGTGATATCAGTGCTGTTTTACTTATTGTTTACAAATATCCATGTGTTCACATAAAAACTCGAGGAAGAATGGCAGTGTCTGTTCTGTGTGAATCTTATTCTGTCTGTAGAGAGTTTTCAAAGTCTGCAAATATGCAAGGGTCCAAACTCTGACTGAGAATAAGTGAAGGGGCACGGGAGATCTTTCTTTTCACAGAGAGCCAGCAAATGTGTCCTGCCCTTTACTGCCAACACATGGATAACAGAGGGAAGCACCAGAGAGAAAGGAGGACTATGAGCAATGCCAAGGCTTTTCAGAAGTATGGTTAATGCTGTCTTATGAAGGACAGGCAGTTTGTACCATCTGCTAGAGATGTGAGGGAACAAAGAGTGCCTTGCTGAGATATCCATAGACTAAACTGGGAAGCTCAGGCTTGCTTCTCCCACGTCTCCCCCGGCACACCCAAAGAACATCTGGTAAGCTAATTCAGTAACAAGACCAAGTTATATTAATTTTCTAAATAAATTCATAGTTTCTTCAAATGCAAAGCTTTATGTGACTTTTAAAACAGACAACTGCTATTTAAAATAAACCTCCAATATCTGAAGTAAGTAAAAATTTACCTGAACTGTGTCTATAAATGTACAAGTATGAGCATTCCAGATAAAACAAAGGATCTGGTGATGAACTTTAAATCCACCATGTGCTTAAATTCTTGGTTAGGTTGGGCTTTTGTGCAAGATGACTTAGTTGTCCAGCAGCAGTTTGGAAGCAGAGGTCATGCAACCATTTTGTCCTATACAGCCCAAATTTCTCACTGTTACAGTGGATCAGTGATCCATTGAACTCCTCTTTCCTCCCTCACTGTACTACATAAATGAAAGCTTCGGTTCTTACCGCACAGAAGTAAGTGACTCATTGAATATTTGACTGTCTAGCAAATCTTAGACTTTCTGACTCAGTGCTAAGAGTTGTTTCCTGTTTGACTGATAGATAAAGACAGCTTCTATCTGTAATCCATAAGGAGGTTTCCTCCACCAGGAAGATGTCTTGCCTTCATGGAGGCACTAAAGCTATAGTGGTGACTGTTGAAGCAAAGACACATTTTTGTAATCTATCATTTTTCTGAAAACCAGCAGAACTCTCATAATACAAAATGGCTCATATATTTATATTTATATATTTATCTTCACTCTTGCCGTTGGGATCTGTATATAAGCATGAGTGACTATTAAAATATAAACCTATTGTGAAAAACCACATCCTGAATGTCTGTATTTCAGTATGGCAGGATGTTTAGTAGCCGGTGTTATTAGATGTTATTCTGTGTATTACCACCCAGAAAAGAAAAATCATAATATTGCCAAAAGCAAAAGACTGCTGTCAAAGCTGATAAATGCAAAAGGGCTTAATGAAGGTGTTGTCTGTCTGTGATGAAACAAGGAGACCTAAGATGCCTTTTTAAAAATACTTTTGGGGTTAGATCATTGCTAGCCCACATGAGATTGATTAAACTCTCAGAAATTGTGTTGGCTAAGGACTGCTTAACTTCATGGACTATGCATCCAGCTGTTGAAGTTGAATTCCTTGTATTTTCTTGTGGTTTGGGTATATTATTGGTTATTTTACCATAATAAATAATTTTTGGTGTTTTTTACGAGATTATAATTTATTATTTATTATCTCAAAGACATTGTCAAATTCAGACCTTTAATAAACTTAGAGAGTAAAAAACCAATGCATTCAGCATCTCTGAATTTATAGCTAAGCAAATGGTATTGGTCTTGGAAAACACAGATGAAAATTGTTGGCCTGTTGCCCTATCGTGCGTGTAAGACCTATAATTGAAACACTAGGTTCATTGCCCCTGTCAAAAAAGGTATAGTGATGCAAGGTTAGAAAAATATTTTCCATGTCTAATGCCTTAAAATACTTTGCTGTAATTTCTGTAGAGAACCTTTGCAAAAAGCACGTGGTTAAAACTGGAATGCCCAGCCAGAAGCACACGGAAGACTTGAATAGTGAAACTAACTTTATAAATACTTGTTTGTAAAGTGTTTAGTGACACAAAGTGACAAGTATTAACACGAATTTCAGGTTGTTGTGGGTGCTTGACGTGCTGTTCGTTCCATCCAGCATGCTGCTTACCAACTACTACTCTGCAAGAAAATAGTGAAATAGATTGGTGCTCTGCAGTGGGGACACCCAGAACAGGCCAGATTTACCCCTTCAATAAAGGTGTTCCTGTAAAGAATAGTTAGCTAACATTTAGCACTCGTGTGGCTGTTTTGATGAATAACAGAGTTTGCAAGGATCATATTATTCATCTTTAACACAGTTCTGTGAGGTAGAGAATAGGGTGCTGTACTCTCTGCATGGCTACAGCAATGAGAACACTGGCCAGGGACTGACAACCACAGCTCCTCAGAGGACATCACTGTTTGAGACGGGACTAAATTTAATGGCTTCTTATTTTTTATCATATTCCTTTCATTACAGTTGTGCTGTCCTGGAGGAATTTGTATTTTGAATAGATGGGAAATCTACCACTGCAACATTAATCACTGTCTTTCTTACAAGGATGAAGCATAATTGCCTTATTTACATCTAGTTTGTCACATCAAAGCCCTTACTAATCCTTGCAGACAGTTAGGAAGTTAGGGAGATCGGAGAATTCATGCTGGAAAATAATCTGTCCTTGCCTAGGAGGAACAGTTCCACAATGACTTAAAAGGCTTACTAATAAAAAACCACCCTCAATCAGAATATTCAAACAGGCCTATTAAATTTGACTGCTCTTATAGATACTCTGAAGCATCCTTAGGGTCAAGAGTAAAGAGCTTAGTTCTTAAAAAGTCTGAGTACTTTGTCCCTGTACTTCAAACATATTTCTGTTCCTCAGCACTGCTGTGGGTATGTGAGTAAGTTCACTGAAATTAGTATGAGAATGAAAAAGTTTGGTGGGATCACTTAAAATATGTCTGGCATCAATCCTAAACCAGCCATGAAATCTTGGCATACATTCAGGTGATTAAAAGAAAGGAGTAGGATTGTGTTTTTCTTTTCAAAATACATAATGTAAAGATGCATTAAGCAACCAACACATTTGTAGAGAATGGAGGTAACACCACAGAGAAATTTTTAAAAAGAGACCAAGGAACATGAGGACACAGAAAGGTAGGACTAGTGAAAGACAAACTAGCAAAACCTTTTTTTTTGCTCTGACAAACCACTGTGCTGAGTTGTGCTAAACTGTGAGATGAACAGCATTTCTATTAGCTGCACTGGCATCTTTAAAGTAGAGATGTATTTTAGAATCCATAGCCCAAGCCTGTATGTGGTTGCATTAGAGAAAGTTGAATATTGCATTGGAGCCCATCAAGATCCATCAGTATAAATTCACATAAATGAGACTTAGAATGCAGAAGATGAAATCTGAGGATTTTGTCCACCAGACTGTAATGTACTGCCAACTGCAAAATGGGGTACTGCTCTATTATTGTAACCCCAGATCAATTTTTAAAGATTAGATCTTAGGATCATTGCATATCACTCTTTCAATCTGCTTTTGTAGGATTTATTTAAAAACCTTCAATTTACGATACACTGTTACTTTCTTAAACTGCTCTGAGAAGAATATTAACATTCCCAGCCAGTATTGTTTCTAGGTTACTAAAGGCTTGTCGTTACAGTTTTGTTTCCCCTCTCTTCTGGTAATACCTGCTGTTCAATATGTGTGACAAGCATGGGCTTCCCAAAACAGGCTCCTTTTTTATTACATACTACTTCCACTTGCAATCCAGTTACCTTTTCATTATTGACAGATGATTCTTTCAAAGGTGCTTTGTGGTCTCAGAGTGAAATGTTGACTCCATTGAAGCAAAGCACAGATATTGATACAAATGAGATATTATGCTCTGACCTTTCAAAGTGC